GTGGCGTCGGCAACTCGCCGCAGGCGCCCTGAATGAATCCGGAAAGACCCAGGGTTGGTAACAGCGAGGTCGAGAGTTTCACGACCCAGGACGGGGCCCACGACGGACCGAAATCTCCCAAATCGGCTCGACGACGGCCCGAAGTTGGGGCCGACAGTTCCGGGGTGGGCTCCACGACTGGGTCGAGGGCTCTGGGGCTCAACATCATGTTGACAGAAAGCGAACTCGCAAGAGAGGGGAAGAGGAGGGAAATGAGAAGAATGAGGGAGACGCAACAATTCGGAAGCATTAGAGGTCGCGCCCCGTCCTGGTCTTTTTATGACGAAGTGTTGCATATTGCGTACTGATGAAGCATTAACAATGCTAATTGCTCAAGGTCAATGACGCTAAATAACTCCAGCGGCGCAGGCGTCCATCAAAAAGTTGCAGCACATTGGCTTTGCCTGTTCTTCCGAACGCTTCCTAGGGAAATGCGCCGAGCATGCGCCCTTGTGGTCATGATTCAGCCCGCTTGGCAATTCGCTGAACCAATCCGCCCTCCGCGCCTGCACAGCAAAGACGTAGTTCTCACTGGGCGTCCCACTCTTGACCGCCCAACCTCCCTACGATTGATTACTATCATCATCGTCCTTCTCCCCATTATATATTCCCCGTTGTCATCTAAACTTTCGTACAGTCCCCCCTCCCTCCCCTCCTCCTTACCCGCCCTTTTCATCATCGTCACCATCCTGATTTTGACATGTCGGCGGCGATCGGCGGAGAGAAGAGTTGAGGCAGGATTAAACAACTTGGAGGACGTGGGCGGAGGATGCGGCAGGACGGATGAGAATGAGGGGTGAGCGGGAGCGGCGGGGAGGAACGGGGATGCATGAGGATTCACGAGGTAAAGGGGTAGTCTTGTCGGGGTGAGGGAGTTATCAGATATCAGGAGGAATAGGAGTAAAAGCAGGCAGGATGTAGGAGTAAAATGATGTGGAACGTGTGCGAATATATAGAGGGTTGCAGAAGGAGGTGTGGGGGAAACAGGAGAAGGCTGGAGTGGGCAGAGGTAAGGGGTAGGAGCTGGTGGTGATGATGATGATGATGATGATGATGATGATGATGATGATGATGATGATGATGATGATGATGTAGTGCGACGAGGCAGGACGAGGTAGCAGGATGCATAACGCTGGGAAGGAGGAACGAGGCAGCAGAGGAAGGAGGAGGCGGGGGAGGCAAGCATCACCCGGGCGACTCCAAGGTAGGACCCATGAGGGCCCATCCAGAAGGACAGCATTTCTCGATCGTGCCGAGGAACCCAGGAGGTCCGGCTTCTGCTGAGGAAAACAGAATTCCTTGGCGTGCGATTCGAACACGGGGGTTACTCCTGCGTCAAATTCCGGAAGAGGGATGAACTCTCAGCCGCGGGGATGCTCGCGCGTGGGGCCAGCGGGGTCTCGCACTTCTCCTGCACTGGTTGAACCAGTGCAGGAAAAGTGCGAGAGCCCAGATTGCAAATGTAAGCTAGCAAGACTCTAACAGCAGTTATTTTGGGGAGTTGTATTAGAACTACATGCACTCTACTGTGCTTCCAAATTCCGCGGGTGCCAGCTTTCCCCGCCTCAACATGCATTCTGGGCCTCGACAGGCGGTGACGCATTCCCACTCAGTACGTTTCCCGTGCGGCACGCACACCACCAAAGGTGACCTACGGGCGGGTGGGTCACCCGGAAATTAATTGAGAGAAAACAATTGTTTCACTTGGATTCTTAGCCTCCCCCAATAAATACGTGTCCTGCACGTCCGGCGCGAGAAAACCAAAAGGTGACCCACAGGCGGGTGAGTCACAAGGCGCTGGTTGAGAAAAAACGATGTGTGTCAAGAGCCTGATTCAGTAGGCCATCGGACGTACGGGTGCCAGCATGCGGACGTCAAGGCGGCGAGAGATTCTGCGATGGCGCCCGACTCCTGCTTCGACCACGCGAGGGGCGAGGACCCCTAGCCTGATCAGGCGCCCAAGCCCCGACACCCAGCTGAAGCCTGGCCCCGAGTGTCGGACGTGCATGAGCAGGCGTTGTAAGACATGAGTGGAGAGGTAGTACCATGGGATGATTTTGACGGTTGGGGGTTTTCCCAGGCAGGCGATGGGTCGTGTATCAGGAATGCGACAAGCGAGATTTCATGGGCATCTTACACATGGGTCTTCGTCGCTGATCGTGGGGGCGAAAAATATTGTGACTGTTGAGTAGTTTGGCGGAGCCTGCCACAGACAAGTCTGGCGGCAGAGCAATTGAAATTAGCTGTGTTGCCCATATTTGTGCCTAGGTTCGGACCAGCACTTTACAGCGACTGCATGAATTCGGTGAGGCTGTCAACAAAGGGCCCGGCCCAGCCGAGCAGATATCGTCCAAGCAGCATTATGGGGGTTGAGAAGAGGTGCCTTACTGCATATGCGTGGTAACGAGGCCCCAGCTGCTCACACGCCTGCCCATCGGAAGCTGGAGGATACAGATCTGCTGCCAATTCCCGACAGGTGGATAGGCCAGGCTAACTGGCGGGCGAACATCTAGGCCAAGAGAGCTCTCGAACTTCATCCCAGAGCCTCGGAGGAATAATGGCGGCAGCTTGAGAGCTCGATCGAGAGTATAGTATCGAAGTGGTGGCGCGTCTCGTGGCGGCGACATTGCCGTGTTTCCCGAAGGTGTTCCACCAACGCCCGCCGAGACGTAAGCGACAAGGCCGAAGCGACAGTCTGGCACGAGTGGGCCCCGTGGCTTTGTGGTCAATGTGACGACTGCCTTTTTTATAGGGGGCGGGGCACCCAGGACGGACCTGAGGCGGGCTGTTGTGGTCTCCCAACACGTACGAGTACCTTGCTGACCAATGCCTCAAGTAATGTGCACAAGCTTGCGAGTACTCAGGTTGATGAGGAGTTGTCACTGTTGTTCTGCATGGTATGGGGCAGCTAAACTTGATAAAATCGGTAAGTTGGCAACGCAGTGCAAGCTGGAGATGCACAGTGGAGGTGCGAGTGCCCTGTCCAGACTCAAGCGGGGATGTACCCCCCCTCGTGATGTGCATGCTCAACTTGCGGCACAAGAAGCGCCCGTTTCAGGCCCCGAAGGCCGTGCGTTTGCCAGAGCGTCGAGGCAGCAGCAGCTGGCTGCGCCAGCGATCCTCCTGGAGCGTTTTGCTGCTATCCGTGCTCGGATTGCCGAGAAATCGAGGCAGCATGACTAAGCGGGGGGCGTTTTGTTTTTCGTCCGGTGGTGGCCAAAAAAATCAGGGGGGCATCTTTGGAGCCTTCTTGAACCGTCGAGAAGCCGAACATTAGCGAACGTCAGAATCTTTCCACTCAAAAAACAAAAGAAAACAAGTACTTATTTCGACCTTCCCAGACTTTCATAGAGGTCCTCCTGGAGGCGTCTTGGGCCGTCTTGGAGGCCCCTTGGGCCGTCTTGGGCGATCTTGAGGCCATCTTGGCCCATCTTGGGGGCCCTTCGGCCCGTCTTGGAGACACCTGGGACCATCTTGGGCTCTCTTGGGGCCATCGTAGCCGTCTTGCAGACCATCCTGACTGTCTTGGAGGCCATCTTAGGGCCGTCTGGAGCGGGAAGACCGACGAAGTTCACGAGTCCTCGTGGAGGCGATTTTTCTGTTTTTTCGTTCCTTCCGCGTTCTTTCGCGTCATTCCCGGTGGCCAGCGGAAAGGACCAAAAAGTACCTCGCCGTGCACCCCTGTGGCAAGACCACAGGGGGCGGCGGATTCAGTGGTCTTTGGCCCAGCCCGCCACCGTGCGGCTCCCAGGGCCAGCTCAGTTACCCGCATTCTGGGGCCGAAAACCACCAAACAAGGTGATCCAATTCGTTTTGACCTATGGGGAAGTTCCTGCGGAACACCTCCGAGAACGCGCAAGAGCGCCCGGAAGCGCCCAGAAGTCGAGGCTCTGGGAATGTTTAAGAGAATCAGGTTGCAGCACCCAAGATTGAGGATTGTGAGCTCTCAGGGGCGTGAGGGCATACCTACGACAGGGTGGCGGAGACAGACATATATACAATGTATGTGGAAGCATGCTCTGGCATGGTCGTATAATAATGTATGTTTGCATGCGTTTGACTTGTCATTCCCGACGGGAAGTTTCCTCTGTGGAGCTGTCCATTCATTTCAACAGCAGTGTCTTGCAACCGTGTTCCACAAATAGTTGAGGCGCGGGGTGGTTATCAATAGCGCAACTGCGATGCATACTTCCAGCAGGGAGTCAAGCATTGCATCATGCGTGCAACTTCGAGCAGCGCTTCGGAGATAATGGTAACGGAACGCCAAACAGGAAATGCATCGATCGTCAAAGCGGCGGATGGGCCGAGACGCCCGATATCTATTGAACATGGAGTGTCAAGTTTCGTTGCGAGGTCGTAATCAAGCTCTGAATCAGTCGCCTTGCAAACGTGCCTCGGCTCGATTCGTACTATAGTGTTTCCAGCCTGAACAACTTATTTCTCGCAACCCGCAATCAGCCTCTGAAGGCGCTGACGATGCTGCTGCGGTTTCTCAGAGCCGCCGTTGCTCAAATAGGCGGCACAGCTTCTACTGGCAACGTGTGCGTTAGCCAGTTCTCGACAATGGCCTCCTTGAGTGTTGCCATTGCCGTGACCCAGTTTCATGCAAGCCTTGGGCACTCTTAAAACGAAACCCACTGTGCTCTCTTGATCGTCGGGACGCTGGTCACGCGGTCAAGATCCTTGCGCGATGTTCCAGATCTGAAACATCCATCTTCCAAGGCAACTCACAGTTATGCATTATTTCCTTGCTCCGCCTACTGCTCCTCGTCGCGCCCCTCATCATCTTACGCATTATGTTGTTATTGCTCGTGACCCTGATCATCACCATCTTCCTCTTCCTACCCTGCTCTCGTTCCTCCGTGTCGTCGTCGCTGTAGCCGTATTCGTCAAAAGTCCGTGTCGTTTCCGTCCTAACTCCCCCCCCAATCCTTTTCCTTGTCTCCCCTCGCACTGGACAGGCGATGACCGAGATGATAGAGCATGGGATGCCAGAGCAGGTGGCTTCCGACTTGATCGAGGCTCCCATCCGTTGCCAGCATTAGGACGATTCGTCCCAGCTGGCGGGACGAACTCCAGTCGAGTGCCACGCTCAGTCGTGCGGTCGTTTGCATCAGAGCTACAATGCTTGATTTGTAAACCTTGCCAGTCGGTAGGATGAGGAGGTGCAGGAGAATTGGGGAGAAGCCCGTCAAAGGATGGGCCCCTTCCAGATGAGTGTATCTCGCGTGAGTGGTCGCCGCCCCGAGAAAGCCAGGTCGCTCCCAGGGGCGCGAGGATGATCGCGCGTTGCGCGTCGCGGCCTGGACAGGAGAGCTGGCTTTCTCCAGCGTCGCGCATCGCGGAACGCGACGCGCAAAGAAAGTTGAGAGACCTAGGTGGCCGCCGCCTCGAGAAGGCAGCCCAGTCTCCTCCCCCCACGACCCCCAGTCCCTCCTCGATCCCCGCTCTCCGATCCCTCTTCGATCCCTCCTCCTCGATACCTCCTCGATCCCTCACCGATCCCTCCCCGATCCCTTCCGATCCCTCCCCGATTCCCTTTCGATCCCTCCTCCTCGACCCCTCCTCGATGCTCCCCTGCCCCCCCTGCGAAGACGCGAAGCTGCACGGGCACGGACGGCACCGACGGCGGGGCTCCGGAGAGGGCTGAGAAGGCTTTTCGGAAGGCCGGAGGCTTGCCGAGCCTTGCGAGCAGGCCCGCCCCCCCTGAGCCTTCCCCCCCCTTGGGCGCTCTGCCGGCCCCCTCCCCTGCCCGCCTTCCTCCTGCTGGTGTCTCTCCGACTCGCCAGTTGGCTCCCTTCTACCCTCGGCATCCGCGCGCCGCGCAGCTGTCTGCCCCGGCGTGGCGCGATCGTGCCCGCCCGCCCGGCTCCCTGAAGGGGTGCGCGGTGGCACCGTTCCGAGGTGGCAGGGGGAGGCAGGGGACCAACCGCCCTCTCTCCTCTCTGGGGCCGCTGCCGGCTGCAGCGCCGTCCTTGGGTGCTGCCTAGGTTGGCAAGGCTCGTGGGCGCGGCGTCGTCGTCGTCGTCGTCGTCGTCGTCGTCGTCGTCGTCGTCGTCGTCGTCGTCGTCGTCGTCGTCGTCGTCGTCGTCGTCTGGCCTGACCTGGCTCCAGAGGAGGTCCTTCTTGGTGCAGGCACCGGCCTGCGAGTGCCTCGAAGGGGCTCAAGCCGTGCTCTTGTCACTCGCTGCAGCTTCTCTCTGCTGCTGCTCCTCCCCCTCCTCCTGCCCTCCTCTCCTCCCCCTCTCCTCCCCCTCTCCCCCCCCCTCCTCCCCCTCTCCTTCCCCTCTCCTCCCCCTCTCCTCCCCCTCTCCTCCCCCTCCGTCTCCTCTCCTCCCCCTCTCCTCTCTGCTGCTGTTCCTCTCCCTCTCCTCCCCCTCCTCCCCGCCCTCTCTGCCGCTGTTCCTTCACCGCTGGCAGTTGCTCCAGTTCCTCTTCAGAGACGACGAGACGGAGGGTGCCAACAACGTGCAGGACCTGCTCATCCTGGGCTTCGCAGAATACATGAGAGCTTTCGGCACTCGCCTCTCGACGCTTGTCTCATCTTTGCGAGGAGTAAAAGAAGGAAGATAATGGGGAGAAGAAGGAGGCGGAGGAGGAGAATGAGGAGGAGGAATGTGTTTTGTTTTTGTTCGGCAGGCCGTCGATGTGAGCCCGAAAGACATATATCCTTCGCCCTGCCCTTCCAATTCCCATTCCCACGGTGCGGCTCGAGGAGTTTTGCGACATGAGAAGGGCATTGGTTTGGGAGTCGCAGCACCGGGTATAGATTGTGATGGGGATGCATTCCGACGTCAGTATGGCTTCCGTAGGCCAAGGCAGTGCGCAGAGAACCTACGTGGCGAGAGTGGAGTGTACACAGGTGTTTCGGAGGCAGCGAAAGTAGGAGCTCCTCTTCTGTCCCAGGTACGCGCATCTACGACGAGCTGTTGTTGCAGCCTGAAGTCTTCAATGGCGCAGCCCTCAGAGGTCTTGCGTCGCGGCCTTCCCCTCCGCCCCCCTCCTTGTCATCCCGCTGGTGCTTCTCCTTCTTCTCCCTCCCCCCTCTCCTCCTTCCCCTTCTTCCTCCATATTCCTCCTTCCTCTTCCTCCTCCTATGGCTTCGCATCAAGACGGACGCCCTTTAACTCTCCCGCGGCAGCTCGATGCTTTGAAAGCGGCATTGGCCAAAATGCCAAGCAATTACTCGATTCTACCCCCTCCGCCCAAGGCGGCTAGGCCATACAGCTGGCTCAGGCCGAGGCGTCGAGGCTGAGCTCGACCGACTCGCTGAAGCTACTGGCGTTCCTCCTCCTCTTCCTCCTCGTCTTCCTCCGTAGCTCCGTAGCCATTTTGGCTCAAGCCGTTCTGGCTCAGAATGTTCTGAGCTTGCCGACGCCAACTTCTGACCGGCCTGCGTCGGCAGGCCAAAGGTTTTCGACTTATATTTGCCGTCCCCAGAAGCAGCATGTCTGGTGATGGTTCCGTGCTCACAGGCCCTTGTACGCCTCTTTGGTCTTGTTCGCAGTGCACCAGGGCTGCGAACTGGGCCTGTCGCATCAAATGTCTTTGTGGAGCTGCTGCTCCTCAGCGTGTGCAGCAGGCCGCAAAAAAACATGCCAAGGAGCTTGACAAGACACCGTCGTCATCGGCTCCCAAGGGCCCCAGCGGGCGGTGGGCGGCAGGGCCCCCGCCAGACCTCGTCCAGCAGCTCACAATGGCCATGGACAAGAAGCTGGACCAGCGTCTCAAGGCTCTGCAACCGAAGGCTCCGCCTCCTGCTGCTGACCTTCCTCGTGCTGACCCCGACGAGGTGCGTTCTGGCAGGATCGAGTCCTTGGAGAGCGCCCTCAAGCAGCTGGAGTCAGTTGATTATTCCGACCATGCCAAGAAGTGCCTGCAGGATCAGTTGCGCGAGGCCCGTGCTGCCCAGCGTAGCAGCAAGCCTCCACGGCAGCAGCACACCAACGTTGTTTTCCGTCTTCAGCCGGCCCAGAAAGAACATGATCGTGCTAAGGCAGCTGTTACTGCCCAGCGTGAGGTCATCGAGGCTGCGCAGGCAAAGCTTGTGGAACTTCATGCGAAGGAGGCAGCAGTATCTCGGGAGGTTGACGCATTTTCTTCTGAGCTGCGCAGAAAGATGCCCGCTTCGCCGAAGCAAGCAGACCTCAGCTTGCCTACCGAGGTTTTGGAGGCGCACGCTGATGTCCGAGACTTCTTGCGTAATCCGATGTTTGCGAAGTTCCAGCAACTGCACAAGGAAGCGAACGATTCAACGGAGGTGGCTCCAGAGCCTGACGATGCAGGCGAAGGGGCGCCCCCTCCAGAACCACCGCCTGCAGGGGCGAAGGATGAAGAGATGCCGCAGTATGATGGATTTTCCCCAGAAGACGTTGATAAGTTGTTCAGCGCAACGGGGATCTCAGGGAGATGAACGGGAGTTTGAGGAGCAGCTGCAGGCGGTGGGAGTCAAGCGGCAGCGTGTTGCTTCGTCTTCCTGACGCACTCCGACCTGAAGGAGTGCCTGTTGATTCAGGCACCTGCTCGTCTGGGAGTTCGGGTTCGACGACACCGAGTTCGGCATCCCAGATTCCCTTCGGGGCTGGAGTCCCCGCATGCTCTGGGAGTTCGGGTTCGGCCTGCGCGGGCTCGGCGTCCCAGATTGTTCTCGGGGCTTGTAGACCCCACATGGCCAGACCAGGGAACTGCAGACCCTCCCAGCCCAGCGCGCGCCCAAGGGCTCAAATGGAAGGAGCGTCCCGGGGCCCTGGTCGGAGTGAGTACCCCATGGTTTATTGTATGCGGCCCCTTTTTTATGTGGTCTTCCAGTGTCACATGCTGGCAACGTCGCCCCGCAGCATGAGGGTGTCGCAAAGGCGCCTGATGATGGTAATGTTCAGGTTTTTGAGTCGTTCCGGGCTGCGCTTCTTGATCGATTGCGTACCTCGGACTCTCTTATCGCATGTGCACAAGAGGTTGGCACGGCCGAGGCGGCGGTCCCCGACCTCCAACGTGCAGCCCGAACGATTGGTTATCGTGTTCTGCGCGGTCCTTCCTTTGAGCGCGATCGAGGATCTCACTCCGCAGGCGTTGCGGTCTTTGTTCGCTCCGACCTGGGTTTGTGATGGAACCCTACGGGGGGTGAAATTGTCAATGGCAGACTTACCTCAGTCAAGGTTGACATTCCTGGACGGCCAGAGCTCACGGTGCACTCCGATTACCTGTGCACGTCTGCGGGACTGGACAGTGCCAACATGCATATTCTCAAGATGATGGGCACCAGTGTCACCAAGAACATCGGTATTATATTGGCAGGCGCTGATTGGAATGTTGAACCTCAGACGCTGGAGATTTCAGGCTTTACGCGCACGGCAGGATTGAGTGCTGTCGTTCCCGCGCGTCCAACTTGTGTTATGTCGAATTCGGCCAGTGCCATCGATGACTTCCTTGGATATCATGGCCTAGTGCGGCTCGTGGAAAGAGTTAAGATCGTCAATGCGTGGCATGGTGGCCCGCATAAACCAGTTCGCCTCCACCTGCGCCCAGGTGTGTTAAGTTTGAAGCAGTTGGCGCACTGTGCTCACGAGAGACTGCCTCTGCTGCCTCCGACAGGGCCCCGCCCACAGCCGAGGTCGCGCGTTGCAGCTCGTGAGCTTGCTGAACATGCCGCTCGCGCTGCTGAACATGAGGATGTCTCCAGAGTGTGGCTGAAGCTAAATCATGATTGAACCGCTTTCGCGCAGGATGCGGAGACCATAGGCGCCGACCAGAGGGAGATATCTCACGCGCAAGTGGGCCCCTGTGCTCGGGCGCAAGTCGCGCGTTGCTGGCGATGTCCATGTCTGTCGCGGCTGGCAGTGGCTTTATCGAGTGCGGCATGAGTTCGATCTTGCAGTAAAGGAAGCTCCGCAGTTGGCCACTAACGATGCGGCCGCTGAGATTCAGCAGGCCTGCTTGGTAGAGGGGTGCCCTGGTGAAGGTCTGGATGTAAGGCTCGACCCTCAAGCAGTGGTTTTCCGCGACCTGCCGCGTACTTACCCCTTCCTGTCCGAGCATCATTGGTGGACCAATGCCGCTGAGTTCTCCGAATTCTTTACGCTCCGCGCATCCCCACCGGCCCATCTCAAAACCGCAACTCTTGCGAAGCATGCGACAGTCGTGTTTTTTCAGGCGCGTTTCCGCCTGCCCCCGCATATATCCCCTGTTCCTCCTCCCCCCCGCCTCCTTGCACATCCTCCTTGTGGTGGGAGCGGGAGAAGGACGAGGCGGAGGAGGAGGGAGAGAAAGCGCTCGTCGTGGTTGGAGTCGTTTGGAGTTTCTCGTCCTGGTGCGAGTCGTTCGGGCCCTTCTTCTCGGTGTGAGTCGTTCGGGCTCTTCGTGGTGTGAGTCGTTCGGGCTCTTCGTCCTGGCGTGAGTCGTTCGGGCTTCTCGTGGTGTGAGTTGTTCGGGCCCCTCGCCCTGGTGTGAGTCGTTCGGGCCCCTCCTCCTGGTGTGACTCGTTCGGGCTCCTCGTGGTGTGAGTCGTTCGGGCGCCTCGTCCAGGTGTCAGTCGTTCGGGCCCCTCCTTCTGGTGTGAGTCGTTCGGGCTCTTCGTGGTGTGAGTCGTTCGGGCCCCTCGTCCTGGTGTGAGTCGTTCGGGCTCCTCGTGGCGCGAGGCGCTCGGGCAGCTCGCCCCCTTTTGGGGCGTCTTGGGGGCCTCTTGGCGGCCCCAGGGGCTTCTAGGAGCGTCTTGGCTGCCTTGGGGTGGCCTCTTCGGGCCTCTGGGGGGGGGGGGCATCTTGGAGGCCGTTTGGGGCGTCTTGGGGGGCCTCTTGGCGGCCCCGGGGGCAGGGGCGTCTTGGGTGCCTCGGGGGGGCCTCTTGGGGCCTCTTGGGGGACTCTTGGGGGCATCTTGGGGGCCTCTTGGAGGCCTCTTGGGGGCCTCTTGGGGGCCTCTTGGGGCCATCTTGGGGCCTCCTGGTGCCACCTGGGCGCTTCTTGGGGCCATCTTGGAGGGAATCGATCACAGAGGAGGGGAGCTTTAATGGGCGCTGTTCCCTCAGAAGGGCAAAATGAGGCCAACACCTTCGTAAAATCAATGATTCTGCCTTGAAAGAGGAGGGGGCTTTAAAGAGCGGAGGCCCCTCGGAAGGCCAAAATGGTGCCAAAACCGTAGTAAAATCTATGATTTTGGCTTCAAAGAAGAGGAGAGGGTTTTTTCTGCCTCCCCCCGTCGGGGCCACAATCCTCGTGAGGGGTGTCAAATTTTAGCCCTCCCAGGAGTCGAAAAAGACCCCTCCAACAACCCGCGAAACCCCCTCTCCAGGTCCTGGGGGAGGGGGTAGGGGGAGGGGTAAACCCCTCCCCGAAGGGGAAGAAGGGGGTTGAGAACAGAGCGGGCTCTCTAAACCACTCACGCCCAAGGGCTGGTGGGATTCATGACTGATGAGTCCGGGCATGTAACGATGAAGGCAACCCAGCTGAGAACGCAGTCGCGGAAGCAGCGGCGCGACGACGCGCTCGCGGGCTCGGCCAAGGCGGCGCACAGGATCACCAGGCTCCAGCACCTGTGGAGCCCCAGCATCGTCGGGGGGGCCCCAGACGCATTCTCGAGTTCGCCTGATACCATCCTCGCTGGCGAGGCGGAGGCCTTGAGCCAGCAGTGGCGCGCTACCTTGAGCCCGTCAGTGGCTGAGGTGCCTGATCGAGAATGCTTTGCTCGAGCCCCGGTTGATGACATGCGCTCCGCTTCGAAAGTTTACGCATCTTACTTCGTCTACTCTGGATTGGTTCCATCCAAGGCACATTTGTTTACTGGGAGACGCTGGCATATTCACCCTCGGCATTTTGTATGAAGCGGTGGAACGGCTGGGGCTCTTTCCGATGCATTTTACGTGGGCGGTTTTCCTTGTATTGACAAGCCAGCAGGTGCGCATCGAGCTATTTTACAGCTGGCTAGTTTTGAGCGCGTCTGGGAGAGGCTTCGCCGACCGATG